TTTTATATTATAATATATAATTTAAATTATAAAATAAAAAATTATATTAAAAAAATAAAATTTCATTTTGTTTTTAAACATTGGGGAACATAAAAGAATAAAGATTTTTTTAAAGTAATTAATAAAAATTATATTTTCAATCAATTAAATCTAATTTCTACCCAAAAAAAAAATCAATTAAATCTAATTATTAAGAGTTATGATGAATCACTCGGCGGCTGAAGGGCCAGTTCTGTTTATTGTAAGAAAAATTTGGAAAAAGACATAAAACTTTGTGTAAAACATCATTATTTTCATGATAATTTATTCTTCTTCCTAGGTTTTGATCAACCTAGACACAAAATCATCAATGTTCTTATCCGAAGAGCCACCTTCACAAACAGCCTTCACAGACAACTCCTTCCACTTCTTAGCATTCTCCTTCAACTCTTTCCCCCTTTCCCCCTCCACCACTTCCCTTATGCAACTCTCAATCTCCTCCCTCCTCACAATCCCATCTTCCTCAACCCTTACCCTAATCCCCACCTTCCAAACATCCTCTACAAACTTGGCATCCGTCGGCTGATCCGTCCACTGCGGCATTGCCACCATCGGAACACCCAAACTCAACGCCTCGATTGTCGAATTCCATCCACAATGCGTGAAAAAACACCCTACCGCAGCATTTGACAGCACCTCCATCTGAGGGCACCACCCTACTATGAAGCCCTTCTCTCCCTCCGCGTCAGCCGGAATCTTTGCCTTCTCGGTGTCTCTAACCACCCACAGGAAATAAAAACCGCTGTTTTTCAACCCCCATGCCATCTCCTCCATCTGTTGGATGCTTAAATTAGACAGGCTGCCAAAGGAGACATAAACCACCGAGCCCGGCGGTTTGTTGCTCAGCCACTTGGCGGTGGCGGCGGATGATTCTAATTTGAAGAGATCAAGACCATAAAACGCATCGTCTTCTATACGTTTGTCTAAGTAGGCTGATGGAATTGTCGGTCCAATTGTCAGAAGCGGACCAACTTTAGACATTGTATCCACAACCTTTTTTCAAATAAAGAAATTAATTGTCAATTTTTTGTGGTAAAGCAAGTTGAAAACTTTAGCAAAATCAAAGAAAAAACATACAAAAAAATGGACTGCTCATGAATCAATTGTTGTACACGAGTTTTACCCTATGGGAAAATGAAGTAACGTAGTTTTCATCATCATTCACAAAAATTAATCATGAATTTTCTACCGTAACTTAATTTTTATATGAAAAAAAATGATACTCATTAAAGTAGCAGATTTTCAAGTTGACATAAAAAAACAGTTTATTAAATTAATTAAATATTTTAAATTCATCTATTTAAGTAATTTCAAGGGTGTTTTTTTACAGTTTTTCTGTGCACACAATATTGAAATTTCATAATCTAATATTAATTAAGTGGTGTGTGTTGGACAGTAGTTTGAATAAAACATTAATCTAAGCGCTCTGCAAATTAAATTTGTGAATAAATTGTGTAAAAGAAAAAATTTGAATTACCTCCTGTTCTAACTCGTAGAAGGTATTAACAAGGACGAAGTCAGCTTTTTCTGTGTTTGAGAACTGAAGGAGTACCATCTCGAAGTAAGCTGGATACGATCCCGAGACATAGATGAAGCCAGGCATGTCTCGAAGCTCAAGCAAAGGTAATCCAGCAATTGAGGAAGGCACAGAAGGGGAAATAGGAAGAGTTAACAGTCCATGATGGACATTATAGTAGATGTAATTAACAGCACAATTTTGGGTGAAGAAGGCGGCCCCAACCAAGCCAAGTTGATGTGCCACGTCCAAGGCCCAAGGGAGAAAAGAATCGTAGACTACGCAGTCAATAGGGTGCGGTGAGTTTTTGTGTTTGGTGATGAGGTCAGCTAGCGTTTTTGACCCGGCCGATTCGAACCTGGCGAGGTAGTCGTGGGTGCTCTGGGCTTCGGTGAAGCCGCCCTGGTCGAAGCCATCGGAGATGGTGGCGATTTGGACAGTGGAGGACTGGGGTTTGATGGTGGTGGAGATGAAGTTGGTGACGGCTAGAGTGGTCTTGATGCCTTTAGAAGCTAGGCGGCGGGAGAATTGGAGCATTGGATTTATGTGGCCTTGGGTTGGATAAGGAACTAAAAGCACATGGCTACAACTCTTCTTCTCCATCTCTGGCTTGTTCTCTTTTTTGTTTCTGTTATATGAGTTTGAAAGAGATATATCGATCCCTATTTATAGTTGAAGCCATATATGGGGGGAAATACTCCAAGAAATTCTTTGGAGATGAAAGCATATGCTATTAGGATGCATGAGGATGATGGTTTTTCAACTAGCTGCTTAATAAGATTTTTAATCTTTGACCTTCATCTTAAAGTTATATCTACATTTATATATTTGAAGTTATATCTTCATTTACTTATATAAATGTATATTAGCCGTTCTCCAAAAAATTAGGATAAAAAATACTCTAATTATATTATTTAAATAAAGAATAAAGAAAATTGAACAAAATAATCTCATTTCTATTTTTTAAAAAATTATTTTAATTTTTTTCACTCAAAGTTATTGAAATGATATGTTTGTGGTGTTTTTTTTTATATAATTATATTATATATATATGATATAAAATAAATCTCTACAATTAAAAATAGAAAGATAAATAGTAAAAATTTTATATACGCATAATGTATAAAATTTAATGTAAATAGATCTCTACTTTTTCCCGTGTATATATATATATATATATAAGAATATAGAAATAGTGTATACCATTTCCAAGTCAATAAAATCTTAATTCAAAAAAATAATAATTAATATATCTTTTGATTTAATATATCTACTAACAACTATTTATTTAGTCATTAAATTTTATATGTAAAATTTTTTTCACCTTAAATTTAAATTAAAAAATAATTTTTTAACATATATTGTAAAATATATTAAGTCAAAATATACGTTAATTATTATCTAATTTAAAAACATCCCTTTCTAATAAATATTTTAAAAAATCATCCATAAATTAAATGATTTATTTATGGAGACTATATATGTCAAATCTCCAACTTCATCACCAACTTCATCAGGACAGATTGATTTTTATTTTAAAAATAGGTTATTTCTGCTCCTCTTTCTTTCTTTCTCTTTCTCTCTTTTGGGGAATTGAAGAAAGGGAAGGAGGAACAGAGAATAAGAGGGTTTGAACATTGTTGGTGTGAGTGGAATACCAATACGGTTACGACATGAGTCATGCAGCAGTATTCATTATTTCATTTGCGCTCTTCTTTTTTATCGGCCAAAACAAAATATTTTAATTAAGGGAGTACAAATGCTACATGGGCTGACGTACCATTCCAAAGACATTGTTCTAAAAATTAAGAAAAAGATAGTGATTAGTATATTTTTTAGAATAATATATTTATTAATATTTATTAATTTAATAATTAAATTTTATAAGTAAATTTTTGTTGTTTTAAATTTAAATGTAAAAATAATAATTTTTTAATAAATATATTATAAAATATATTAAATTAAAAGATATATTAATTATTATTCTTAAAAAAATATGTATAAAAGGTCACATCTGATGCACCAGTGTTAAAACTTAAAAGTGACCTCATGCCAGATAAATTCCTTTTAGTTCAAACATGCATAAATCCTATAGTCTTGCACTCTGCTATAAATGATGTCAACTTTATTATTAAAAGAGTGGTTAAACATGCTCTAATTCAAAAATGACATCTTACTTTAAAAACAAAAATAATATAATTATAAGCCTTGTTGCATTATAAGTTTATAATCCTTACACATCATTAAAAAATTAGTTATTATTTAGAGACTCACCATAATATTTATATATATCTATTTGTTTAATAACAACTCAAAATTATAAACTTACAATGTAATATTGTAATTATATCATTATTATTTTAAGAGTTTTTGCTTTATGTAATCAAAGAAGCACACTTAAAATTTTATCTTTAAATTAAAGTTTAAAGTATTTCCTTTTTTTTTTCTAGAGAAATTCATCTAATATTTCTAATTATTAAAAAGTTAATCAAAGTACAATATTAGAATTTGTTTCTTATTTCTCAAGTACCTTAATTACTATAAAGCTATTAGACTTTATTGTCAATTTTTTTTTTGGCCATTCACTTTATTGTCAACAAGGTCACATGGTATGTTCGTTGCGTGACCTTATTTAATATTGTTAATATAATACATATTATAATTATGTTATTATCATAAAAGAAGTATATATAAGGTGTGTTTCGCAAGGCCACATCATGTCACACCTCATATATATTATAATTATGTTATTGATCTTTAATTAACATCAAACAAAGAATTGGATTTATTAATAAGTAAATATTATCTTTTAGATGAGATTTAAAATTTAAGTTTTGAAGGTAGCACTCTAAAAAACAAATTTCTTTAAATGTTCTAGGCCAATGTGTGAGTGATTATTTGCACCAAATGCAAAATCTAGATGTTTATGTGCTTATTTTGATAACATAGGTATTTTTTTGCATATATATACCTAAAGAATAGTGATTAATATACATTTTGATTCAACATACTGTATAATATACTTATTAAGAAATCATTATTTTTTAGTTTGAAATTAAAAGTAGACAATTTTAAATATATAATTATACACACAAAATGTAAGAATCAACTAAATCAACTGTATTTATATTATATTTTAATGGTTAAATAAAAAATGTATCAAAAAATGTGTTGAATTGAATGTGTATAGATTATTTTCCATACCCAAAACAACAAGTATGATATATGTACATTAATTTAAAATCTTAAATTTTTATATACATATTTACCTCAAATTACAAGTAATTAAATTACAATTTTTCCTATTAATTTTAACAACTATTTAATTAAATTCATTCAAGTGTCTATAGTGTTGAAATTAATATTAGTTTTCAAGTGTCTACGATCGATGTTGAAATTCATTCAATCATCTAACTGCAATTTCCCCTATTAATTATTAATTTTTTTCTTAAAAATCGAGATTACTACGTATTATTTTCTTAATTTTTTAATAAATATTTTTTTAATTTTTTAAATTTTAAAAAACTATATTTGTACTTTTAATTCTTCTCTCTTATTCACTATCATTAAATAAATATAATTTTCTCTCTAATTTAGTTATGAATAAATTGCACACAAATGTGATTTAATGTTCATAGTCAAAAGGGTCATGAGTTGGCTACACATGCGAACACACATTAT